GACACATGCTACGGACAGACCTTTTCAACATATGCTGCTCCGTGACTCGATCCTTTGTGCGATTCCCGTGCGAGGCACATCTGACAGATCCCGGCCTGTACACCACTCTGCAGCTCTCCTAATAAAATCATATCTGACTTTCAATAAGAGCCACTGCCACCCTCTCGATATCGCAGTAAGGCCTGTGCCTAGATAATACAAGCACTGGAACGCAGTACATAGACGGTGCACTTTCGACACGTCTAACACGCCCTGCTTAATCACAAAGTCTTATCTTAGAAGTGTGACATCCTGTCTGCTGTGGAATCCACGCCGGATCATAAAGGGAGTGGGTTTGCTGCAAGATGCACAAGTGTGTGTGCACGCTTGCATACTTTGGCACGTCTTTGAACTCTGACTTACAGCAGCCCTGTTGAGCACAGCGTCTTATCTGGAGAGGACTGTGAAGTTTCCAATAAACAAGATGTGTGTTGCTCACATCTCGGTCAAGGTCTCGGTGTTTGCTCGAAGACTCGTCATTCATCCCACACAAGCGTTTCGATAACGTTTACTCTCACGTATAAAGATGATGTCAGAAATCAAACTATAATAGGGTTAGGGGGGTAGGGTTGGTGTAGTTGTTGGGTCTGCGCTTCAACAGGCATCGCTGGTTTAGAGACTTATTCCTCATGAAGAAAGCAAGACAATGACACACACCGTGACGTCAGACACAGTAGTAAAGATTACACCAGTGCTCACTTTTGGACTGAGAACCAGTCCCACTGACATGCCTCAAACAGGAATTTCCTGACTCTTTGCCTCCTGTTGTTCAATCAACGAGACATTCAGATTTCTGCATCGCTGAAGCGCGCAGGCTCAGCTGCCGGCTTTGTTGACCCTGTTCCTCCCGTGTGCCCGTGATTACCAGGACCGTATGGAGACTGCGGTGTTGGCAACTGTTAATCCACGAGACAAGGACTGGCACGTGGCACGGAGACTTTGCCCAGAGCCAGAGCTGTCTGCCACCCCCCTCTCCCCCTCTCCCTCTCAGCTGCAGGCTCTAGCCGCTTGCCTCTGGCCGCTCGGCTGCAGTCAAATCTAGGACACGTCTTGATCTCTTGATAACCCACAATCATAGCGACCAAGACTCTTGTGCGCTATTATAGGGGTTTGTGTGTTTGTTTACCTTCTATGAAAAATGGTAATGTCCTTATTATTGTGTGAGTGTGGGACTCCAGTATACTGTGGAAGCCTGTTTGAAAGGTAACATAGTATTAAATATATGAGTGGACACAAAGTGTCAGAGCTGGTTCAGGGTGCTTACCCACATGTTTGCTGAGTCGTGCCATATTTAATGACATCAGTCCCAGCCTACGTCCAACACTTGCTCATCTCTGCTACTTTAACTACCCTCACCTGGCCACAGGTTCTTGTATCTCCTCCTCGTTCTGTGTTTGTTCTCATGGAGCTCTGTTCTGGGCTCCTACTCGATGCTCTCCATAGAAGCACATGGAAGGACAGGTTTACAACTGACAGCAAAATGACAGCAGATAAAAATATTAGTTAGAATTAATGGAAAAATTGAAGCTATAGTTGTGCTGATTGAAGTGCTAAGGCGGTAAAAAGGTGATAAATGTGTGTGAATATATTTGTTTTTTACACCAGAGCAAAGCCTAGTTTAAAAAAAAAAAAAAAGCTATTTGGACCCATTTTTTAAAATTAAAAATGCTTAAATTTGCAGTTGATATATTAACAGTCAGTGTAATGATGCCATGAATCACTCTCTGTTAGATAGTTTAAGGTTCTCTATCAAAGAGCTTAGCAAATAATAGGAATACAAAACCTGACTGTACGTTGGTGCTTGCTGTACCTTTGAGACACTTATAGAAAAGACGTCTTTAAACAAGCTGCGCGCTGAGCGTGGTTTCTCATTTAAAGGAACCACAACTGTGTTCCTCTGAGACCCGAGCCTCCAGATAACAGTTCCCTTACACCAGCAGACCAGATAATGAAGGCTGCTTCAATGCTGTGACGCTGCTATGGAAAGTCATGAAGTCTTACGTCAGGCAGATCGAGGCCAGCTGTCACATCGGCAGACCTCAGTGGTATTTGATCGTCTGGCCACTTTCCTACGAGAGCAGCTCTGATTACACAGACATGTGGCAGACGTGACACACTGCCAACAGTCGACAGAAGCAGCGTCCAGCCCATTACAAATGACCACCTGTTGACATCACGCAGGGCTGCTCTGTGTGATGGTGTAAAGATAGTGCTACTCCTGCTCACATCGCTGATTCTCAAGAGAAGTCCTCACAGAGAAAACCACAGTGAGAGAGTGCATCTATCTCCGATGATAAGGATTTTGAGATCCATACATTTTATTTTAGGTGCCTGCCAAAACATTTAAGCTATGCATAAATGTTAATGGTTTGACGGAGCCGAGGCAAACCTGGCTACATGTGACCTCCAGTCCAAGCCGTGACCTCAACAAAGTCCAGGACTAAGTTCAGCAGTCACTAAGAATAAAATAGGCTTCCTCCATGTCCTGTGCAGAGCCATGAAGTGGAGCACACTGTCCGTGACCCCTACTTTAAGCCTGCTTAGTGTGACAGTAGGTCAGTCATGAAAAAGGTTTCACCAACCTCAGTGTCAGGAACCCCGAGGCCACAGGGCCACAGGGCCACAGGGCCGGGCAGTCTGTGGCTCCTGGAGCCGTGGCTGCTACTGAGTAAATACTCTACAATTAAAACAGTCTTTATCATATTTACAGTCTAGCTGAATGCAATCTGTTCAGTCACTGTAATCACTCGGTGTGTGTGTGTGTGTGTGTTAAAACACACATTCTCAGACACACACACACACACAGACACACAGAGTCTGCACACAGAGGAGTTCACCTTCACATATCTCTTGAATAAAAGCCACTTAGTGAGATTGTTTGTTCATCCAGAGCCAATGAACTGATCCCAGAGCATCAGGGTCCGTCCTTTTTATTTGCATCAAAAATGGAGCATGTTGTCTCACACCTGTTTGTTTCCCCAGCATATGTTGGGTTTTGTGGCTTCTCATGTACAAAGACAGCTAAGCTCCCGCTTTGTCTTCAGGAAGAGCCCCTCCCTTTCCACTGCAGCGGGCCCCTTAGCAAGACATGCAGCGAGGCCAAAGTCAGGTCACAGGCAGGGTGCGGCTCCTGAGCAAAGGAGAAGCAGAGTTATTTGCCCCTTTCATGTCAGCCTGGCATGTGGTGGATTTTGGGTTAGGTGACCTGTTTTGGTTCCTTACTCGTGCAAGCTGTTTGCCTCTGATTCATCTGCGGTCTGACCACCTGATACACAGTCAAAACAGAAATCACAAAAGGAAATTGATTTTCCAAGGAAACGCACAACATTCAGCACAGTTTAATGCCTGCACTAATGTTTGTGTATGAGTCAAAAGAAAACCCACTCGGTGACGTTTTCTTTTTAATGTAACCGTTTAGTTGAAGCCAGCTGTCAGGTTCTGTGAGGCTGTGCTGCAAGTATGTTTCTGCGAGGCTCTGTTTTGCTCGCTTTTCTCTGCAGCTGGAATCTAGCTTGTTTGTAGAGGACATCCTGTAATCTATGACACAGGAAACGCTCTCAGACAGATAGACGAAAAGAGCTGGGTAGGTGGGTGGAGGTTCAGGGGAAGACGAGCAAGAGGAGGGAGTGGCAGCAAAGGAAACAATGTGGTGGTGACAGTGGGCTGTCAAGAAAGAGCGTGTGTGTCCGCCGTGTTCAGTCATGGTTTTCAGCAGACGTCAGCAGACAGGATCGGCTAGTGTTGCTCGTCTTGTCGGTGTATCGGAGCATGCAGGGAATGATTAAAACAAACTGAACATGTTTCTGTAGTCAGACTGATTCTGCGTTTGTGAGTACAACACAATAAGAAAGCACAGCTTTCATCAACACTGGGATCTTGCTCTAGCATTCCTTTTCCATCTCAGATTGTGCCCAGCTTCACAAGTATATATGTTATTTAACCGTTTAAAGGTCAGTGCAGTGAGAGTGTAGCAGTGTCAGTCTTGTTAAAAGTTTCACTTCCCCGTTTGTCTTTGCAAGACTTATGTACGTTTTTAAAGAACTGAATGTCTTTGCACAGCGCTCGTGGTGCGGGGGATTCGGTGGTAACCTCGTGGTCATGCTCTTTTCAGGATTTTCTTCTCCATATATGTGTAAAAATGGTTTACACACAAAAGTCTGACAAAAAGATTCTATTCATAGAGACAAACGGCGATGGCCTGCAGACACAGGAAGTGAAACTGAGGATTTTCAGACAGACTTAAACTGAGAAGACTGCTGTCACTCCACCCTTCCTGTCTCTGCCGCAAACACTCCTAACAGAGATACACACCCACCACCGCTCTGCCAGACACATGCTACGGACAGACCTTTTCAACATATGCTGCTCCGTGACTCGATCCTTTGTGCGATTCCCGTGCGAGGCACATCTGACAGATCCCGGCCTGTACACCACTCTGCAGCTCTCCTAATAAAATCATATCTGACTTTCAATAAGAGCCACTGCCACCCTCTCGATATCGCAGTAAGGCCTGTGCCTAGATAATACAAGCACTGGAACGCAGTACATAGACGGTGCACTTTCGACACGTCTAACACGCCCTGCTTAATCACAAAGTCTTATCTTAGAAGTGTGACATCCTGTCTGCTGTGGAATCCACGCCGGATCATAAAGCACACACACACACACACACACACACACACACACACACACACCCTCTCTTGGCTGCCTCTGAGCACATGCCCTCACATTGGTTACTCTGTGACACATTGCCATAAAGCGGACTGTGAGGTGTGTGTGTGACCTTTGCCAGAAATAGAACGACACACGAAGAGTAAGCGGCACACCTACATTTAACTTCAGCCATCGGAGACCCCTGCTGGCACTCCCCAGTACAGGCTGCTCAGTTCACTGACACTGGAGTGATGCAGACATCGGCATGGTCTGATTGATCCTTTAAACACACCTTCTTCTGTTCTCAGGTGTCCGATCCCATCCCGATGAAAAGGTCTAAACATGACGACCTCTCATCACAAACTCCGCTGGCCGACAGAGCGAAGCAGCACGACTGGCTGCAGTCCTTGCCAACTCCCAACAAGGTCAGTGTCAAATCAGGAGAACATGTTGGTGATCATGATGCACGACATGACACGTGATGTCATGTGAAGATGAACGGTTTGCTTTCTTTCGCAGATTTGTCATTTATCTGTTTCAGATCATCAAGCTCATTTTTATATCAGACACATAACCAGAGTGGAGAAAAAGTCCAGTTTTCATTCTGCTCTCCAAACTTCCTGGTCTATATGACGAAACCTCAAATGTTTGCAGTAACTGTGCAGAAGTGCTTTAAGTCAGCCACATCGGACAGTTTTCGAGTATGAAGTTTAAATTCAGAGTGAAGTGCGCTCTTTGACTTCAGATCCACACTTTATTCATTCATTTTGGGAGCCTCGACCTGCTGGTGTCTTGTGGAGTATTGACCTGCTGCATGATTTCAGTGTGCTTGAGGTTCACCTGAAACTGGCCTTTTTCTTCTTTTTATTCAGGCGTGGCTTTGCCTCACAGCGCTCCCACTGGTGACAGTTTTCCACAGGTCTCTTTCTCATTGTTGAATCATGAATGCAGCCTGAGGCAAATTAGGCCTGCACTTGTTCAGATGTTGTTCCCCTTTCTTTTCTGAGTCGATGATATGCTCTTTCCTCTCCTCGGAAGGTCCAGTACTCTTCCAAGTTTTCCACATGTGTGGATGCAGGCTCTCACTGTGGAGCCTCAGAAATGACTTTGTGCCACAATCTAAAGAAAGAACTGAGAGTTCAGGGTTGGATAGCCGTTTTTCTCTTAATGAATCAAATCAAAAGTCAAAGTGTTGTATTCACCTCAGTCGTCTTTTTCTACTACTGACCTTTGTGTGACGATGTGAAACACGTAACTGACAAATATGCAAAAACATGTGAAATCAGGACACACAGCACTATCTTTAGATTTGGCATGCAGTGCTAATGGAGGCCACGTGCTGAGTGACGCTTGGTTGTACTGACCCATGTCCAGTGTGTCCAACACAGTAACACATTTACACCAACAACTGAAGTGACTCATTCTACTCTTTGTACCCTGGATAAACGGCAGCTTTCACCATAAGAACAGGAGAGAAATGTTCTGATACCAGTGACACCTGTCTAATATCCATGTTTCATATTTACATTATGTCAAAATGAAATTTTGGGAATATTAACCTTGTGCAAACAAATATTTGTTCTTTTTCTTTGAACATCCTAAAACATTTACAGTAACTTGCAGCTGTAACATGGTAAAGTTAATAAGTCCTAATAAAGTTATGATTTTTCAGAAGTAAATAAAATCTCATTAAGTGATGAGTGCCAAACTGCTGTCACGACTGCTGAACAGTCCACTGGTGTAATTTCACCTCCCAGTTTGGAGGTTTGACCTCAGAGGAGTTTCTACAGTGTTCGAGGTTCATGGAGATTCTCAGAGAGCAGAGATCGCTGCGACACAAACCTGTCAACACTGCGACCGATTTTTCTTTGTGTGTTTATCTTTTCTTTCTCTTCTCCAACATATCAGAGTCCATTATTATAGTAAACCAATACTAGTAAGAAAAAATCATATTAAATACCATGAAGTAGAAACAAAAAGCCGTCGTCCTCACCCACAGCCAGAGAAGGTTCATAGTGTAAGTGGGCTCCTGTTCTTGTTGTAGCAGTGGACCTGTGACTGTGAGCAGGAGTTTACATGATCACAACAGGGAACAGTTTCTTCACTGCATATTGTTGTTATGGCCAAGTTATAAAGATGTTTATGTTAATATTCACACGCTTATCGACTTTTCCTGTGAGCTGATAGTAAAAATGAATACATTTTATGTAGTTTTTTAATGGTTAGTAGTTGTGACCAATGGGAATGTCCTTGTTCAGTGTGGTTCAAGTAATTACTGATTACTTCCCCCAAAAAGTAATCTTGTTACTTTACTGATTACTTATTTTCAAAAGTATTAATTACTTAGTTACTTAGTTACTTTTTAAAAACACGATTTACAACCTGAATAGGTGATAAAGCGATAGATCTTTCAACCCAATTCTACTTTTTCTGCATAATCCATCATACAAAATGTAATCAAATGGAAAAGTCTCTTTTTAAAACTTGTTTTATTAGTTTTAATCTTTTAAAAAATTTAATTATATGCAACATTCTCTGACTGGAAGAAATTAGTTTAACATTTAAACCTATTTTCTGCACATTCCAGCACATAAAATAATTTTTTTTTCTGTTTACACTCACTCTTTCAAATAGATGCAAGTAAAACACAACAGAAAATAAATAAAATCAAAGACTCAGCGGTCCTGTTGCTCTATTTTCACCTGTAAAGCAGGAGTAGGGTAGGCGGAGGTTTACCCTGGTGCAGGTGTGCTGCGGTCAGTGGAAGAATCCTCGAGTTTCTATGTGAGTTTCCCATTACGTCGTTGCGCACTCGGTGCTTGCTTGGAAGTTTAGGGGGTTTTTTCGCTGTAAAAAGAAGTTTTCTTCCCACGCACAACGGACACTAATGTTTTTGTCACTTTTTATGGAGTCAAAGTAAGGTCAGTACTTCCACGCTTTAAACGCTGCACGCTCATACTCTCTCCCGCACTCAATATATGATCCATTGTTGATCTGCACACAGCTGTTGTCACTAACGGCGCACTCGCTTACGTCACTGTCATGAGACACTCTCGCAAAAAATCACGGTTTTAGTAACGCAGTAACGCAGCGTTCCTACGGGAAAGTAACGGTAATCTAATTACCGTTTTTGCAATAGTAATCCCTTACTTTACTTATTACTTGAAAAAGTAATCTGATTAGCCATCTCTGTCCTTGTTAACCCTAAACTCTGTGGCTCGGTGTAATTTCCTCACTAACTTGAATCACTTTTGTTCTCCAGGGGCTGAACTGCATTCAGTCCAGGCAGAGGCCCTCAGCTTTCAGACCCTGGTCCCCCCACATCTCTGCGGGTGATAAGGAGCCCTCCAGTAACCCGCTGGCTCTGCTGAGAGACAGGTGAGAACAGCACCAAGTCCATTATAAACCTGAGTTCAGTAGATGTGCGGTCTAAGGGAAGCTGCTGCTCATGAGGATGGCAGTTGCTTCACTCAGCTGGGTATGTGGAGCTCCCACCCAGAGGAGTGCTCTCTCACTTGTCTGGGTGGGCTGGTGTCACAGGGGTCAAGTCTGACTGTTCCACAGCTTCCCACACTCTACCATTCACACACATTTGACACACTCATGCCGTGGGCACCCACTTGGCACAGTGCTGCCAGCGCAGTCTGCAAAATATCACAGATGATCTGGCCCAGTTTCTCCTGAAGTGGGAGGAAAGAGCTGCGGGCGCTTTGACTGTTTCCCAACGCGTTTGGCTGCTGAGGCTGTTCAGATTGGACCGTGTAACACAGCAGTAACAATCCGTACTATTGGATCTCTGTCTTGATAATCACGTAACCTGGATTTAGGTTATTGTATGTAAAACAACACGCATCATGCTGGTCTGGTTTCGTTTTAGCTTCTACAATTACAAGACCCTAGAGAATGCAGTGGCCCCCAACGTCGCCCTCACTCCGCTACCACTAGGCAAGGTAGGGCCTCTGTCCCCATCGATACCCAGCACTTCCTACCCAAGTGGAAGCGAACCTCCAGGTGAGGGCGCACACCCCAACACCAGGCCTCGCAAGAGGAGAGCTACCGAGGAGCTCCAGTCCACAGCACATGAAATCCCTGGGCCTGCTTCCTCAGCAGCCTGCAAACCTCCGCTGCCTCAGGATGATAAGGACTCTGAGGTGGAGATCGAGGTGGAGAGCCGCGACGAAGGTAAGAAAAGAACGCTTTAACGATAATCAGATGTGTAAAGGTTGTTTCATTGTTTGGCTAAATACATGTAGCCCCGGTCAGGTGATCGTTTCATCTTCTCTCATCTCCATGGCCTTTTCCAACAGCTGTTTCGTCCATGTCCTCCCTCTCGTCGCCATCTTTTACCTCATCCAGCAGCTCAGCCAAAGACTTGAGCTCGCCCGGTGTCCAAGGTCCCATCTGCACTATCGCGTCAGCCGAAAGCACGGCACCGGCAGCCACATCGGTGGCAGCACCAGCCCCTGTCACCTCTTCAGAGTCGGGCCTGGAGTCAGAGCTGGAGAGCCTGAGGCAGGCGCTGGACAGTGGGCTGGATTCCAAGGAGTCGAAGGAGAGGTTTCTGCACGAAATAGTTAAGATGAGGGTGAAACAGGAGGAGAAGTTGGGATCGGCCCTGCAGGCGAAACGAAGCCTTCAGCAGGTAATCCTTGTTGGAAGGCAACATGAGTATTATCCTAACTTTTGTGTATTTGCATTAAATACAAAGTGCCAAGGTAAAGAGTGGAAGCAGAGGTAAATGGGAAATAACACATTTGCATTGTGTGACATGAAGTGGACTACCCTACAGGGGCCGTAGATTTAAATTTATCACTAATGACTTGTGTTTTGGCTTGTTTTAGCCATCCTTAACAAAAGCTCTACACTCCACAGAGTGTGCACACACAGGAGATTCACTGAGCTTTAGTAGAAGTCACTGTCGTTCCCCACAAAGCTTAGCATGAGTTGGCAAATGATAACAGTGGCAGCGGATGTTGCTGCAAAGGGAAAGGCCAGACTTCCATTTTTATTTTTGGACCATTTTTGGCAGAACAGAGCCGGTGTGGGTGAGCAACACAAGATGCATGCAGAGAAAGAAAAGCAGCCAGACGCCAGTCTACTTTCACTTTCCATTAGAGCTTAGTGCATATCCATGTCCCCCACAAGCTAAACCAGCAGCAGAGCCTCTGCTCTCCTTCCTCCTGTGTTTAGCTCAGTTCATCCTCATAGCTTTGTTTTCATTTCAAGTCTCTGTGAAATACAGGCTGTGATGGGGATGGACTTTTAGTTGTCACTGTAGGAACCAACAAAGCTTGATGACAGATAAGTTAGTCCCAGCTGCTCGTTTCCCATGAGAAGGCGATGGGCGTGTTGCCACGGCACAGACTGACTCTCTCTTAGAGATTTAGAGGAAGTAAACCCAGACTCTGTCAGCTGAACTGGCTTAGTGTAAACACTGACACTGAAGTGTGAGCAGTTCAGAGACAGGACTTTGACAGGCAGCGGGGTGGGTCACGTTCCTACGGTGCTCATTTAAGATGTTGTTTAAGCTCTGTGGGCACTCCGAGTTTCTCTCAGTGACGCATCCATGTCTGCGGACATAGTTTAGTTCATTCCTTTTATTGAAAAACGTGCCTGTTTGGAAGACAAACAGAAAGACTGTAACATTTGAGACATTCATTTCAAAGACAACATATTCTGCTTTAGGACAGAACGCTAAGCAGACCCAGGACCAGCCGTAACTCTGAGTTTTAGTGTGAATGGTAAGAGGCTGCTAACCCCCGGCTGTTGTGTTCTCTACTTTGAAGGAGTTGGAGTTCTTGCGGGTGGCCAAGAAGGAAAAGCTGCGGGAGGCGACTGAGGCAAAGCGCAACCTCAGGAAGGAAATTGAGCGTCTGCGAGCTGAGAGTGAGAAGAAGATGAAGGAAGCCAACGAGTCAAGGATCCGCCTGAAGCGGGAGCTAGAGCAAGCCCGACAGCTGAGAGTCTGTGATAAAGGCTGTGAGGCTGGGCGACTCCGTGCAAAGTATTCTGCACAGGTGATGATTCAGCTTTCAAATACCGTGTGTAATCCCTGTGAGCCAAAAGATCAGGATGTTTGCTTTAAAGCGCACAGATAAAAGAGGGACAGCCACTGTTGTTGTTTCAGTTCAGCTTTCAGAGATTGGCAGTTCACTGCATTCGTATTCTATGAGCAAGCACCTGGTGACAGGATGTGACCTGCTGAGAGAAACTTCTCACTTCCTGAATATAGGATCAATATTCCAGGGAGGCGACGTCAGCTCTGCTTGTGAAAAGCAAGATTCAAACCAACGGACTCCTTTGGGTGTCTTTGAGTACCAACGCTACACACCTGTGTCAAAATGAAGCCGCCCTTTATTCTGCATCACTTTTAGTTTTGTTACAAGTTTGAACAAACTTGTTAAAGCATTGGCTGTAAGCCTCGCTCGTTTTAACATTGACTCCCACTTGGAGCCACTGCCAAGTGGCTGTTTGAGGAAATGCAGGAAACTTCCAGGTCGTTCATTCTTTAGCCCTGAAACAACATTTTTACAGTATATTCTTATAGTTTTTTTGAGTACATGAGCCCAGTTAGTCTGAGTTGTGTAGAGTGAGGTCGGTGCTTTTGACTCCAGACCGTTCTGCTCTCCTCTGCTGTACAGTCCCAGCTGATTTGTGCCCTTGCGTTTTGCAGATCGAGGACCTCCAGATGAAGCTGCAGCATGCCGAGGCCGACCGTGAGCAGCTTCGAGCCGACTTGCTGCACGAGCGAGAAGCTCGGGAGCACCTGGAGAGGATGGTGAAGGAGCTACAGCAGCAAATCAAACAGTAAAAGAGACGGGACACCCAAGGACATTCCCACTGGTGACAACTAACCAAGCAGCCAGCCTTACAGCTGAACCTTTTCCATTTGCCACCATGATCGCCACCCCACGAGTCCCACAGGTCACCCGCATCACACCACTGTTCCTGTGCTTGCCCCTCAGTTTACTGAACACAAAACGTAAGACTTCAAATGGAGACACAGAGAAGAATGGAGGAGCGTTGTCCTTGTGCATGAAAAGTCTAGTGGTACGGTAGAGGAATGACTGGAAGCATGCATTTTCTGAAGCACTGACTTTTGCACCTCTGAACTCGTAGAACTGAAAACTGGAGCACAGTGAACGGCTCTGTAGTGCTGAGTGCGGCTGTGCCTGGATTTTCCTTCACAAGGACACAAGGAGAGGCTGTAGGACTGTGATATAAACTCATAACAATATAACATCAACGTGTGCACCTGCTGGGAGGTGTTACAATGACGTGGCCAGGAGGGAAGGCCTCCACCAGCGCCTCCTGCCACGATGAACCATAGGAGTCTGAAGACATTATAAGCTATTTAAGAGATTACATAGCGATATGTAGAGTACACAAAGAGCGTTTTTCTGTTTTTCTGTGCTATTGGAGGGAAAAATGAACAAATGGACTTCCCACTGTGCTGCGGGGGTTTGTCAGGGAGCCATCGCAGCCCATTGGGGCGACTCCCCAAACACGATAGGATATGAAAACATGGCAAATGATTTTAACATGAAAGATTAGGTTTGGCTTTGTGTTCAACAGGCACATTTTCCATTTCAAATGAAGCCTCAAAAATGATCCCTACCAGTCACTTGGTGACGAGTTTTTAAACGAGCTCTTTTATTGGATGCTCTGCATACACTCACATACAAGTCGCATTTTATTTGAGTGTTTGAGTCCTGAAGTCTGTAACACACTCCAGATGTTTTCGTGCCGTCACAGTGGGCTGGGTGGTTGGTCTTGTCCGTAACCACAAAGTGTTCATTTGAATTAAAGTATGTACATATAAATATACCTTTCTTTTTTTAAACTTTACAATAATGAATCGCACTTTGTCATGAGGTGAAAACAGCCCCTCCCCCATCGTACTCCCACTATTTTCAGCAATCTTTCTTTGAAAGCATCATCTTATACGCGACTCCTACCATATAGCATTTTGTTGATTATATGCATTTTCAAAAGAATATTGCTGCTCTGTTTTCATTAGGCAAGTATTGTAAATAAGCAGGAAGCCGGCGTTGGGCAGCAGCACACTCTCCAGTCTGACAACAGGAGCACGAACAAACGTTGTATTCAGAAGCCGGAGGCTGTGAATCAGCCGCCACACTGTGGATGCAATACAATCAGAATGTACATTGTGTTGATGCTAGTTTTCCTTTAATTATTGATGTTGTTTTAAATGTGAAAATATTTTATTATTTGTCTGTTGTGTTGAAGTTTTTACTTTCTAAAGAAGAATACTTCAAACTAACAGTTCTGTTCACATTTTTAATAGAAAACTAATTTTCTTTATGCATGAAATTTGACAGCGTTTGCCATACTTATAGTCAGTTATTGGGCATTGATACTGTACATGTAAGGGTTTTATTGTGTTATGCAATATCAAGCAATTTGTCTTATTTAGAAATGTTATTAAAAAAAAGCAACACGTGTATGTTGTTCTTAAGAGAAAATCAAACTTCACACAAAGAAAAAAACTAATCAATGCTGGAAAACCTAAAGTGCCTGAAGGAGGGCCAAAGGTTTCCAGAGCAGGACAGGTGATGCTGAAGCTGTCAGAGGGAGGGGCGTCACATCAAGCCCCGCCCTCGCTCTGCAGCTCTTTATATCAGTATTCTGAGAATCCACCAGTTTACTCATGTTTCCCTTTCAGCGCAACGAACAAACTTCACAATCCTAAAAAGCTTTGGGCGTTTTTCTGAACGATTGCTTTCCTCGCCCCGTACTTGAAATCAATTATGTGCACGCTGTGGCAAAAAAGCCACCTGCTTTGGCAAATTGTTACTCTGGGTTTGGCAGAGCTGAAATTGGTACATTTTGTAGTTGTTTTTACGAAATAGCTAATGGCCTTACAGTGCTTGTGGTTTTCTACAAAAGAAGGAGACAATGACATTTGGCTTTTTGTCCTCCTGACGTTTAAAAACACATTTTATTTTCTAAAGAACCATTTTGCTAAACGACGGCAGCAAAGCAGCAATAACAGTCCACATTAGTATACTAGCCAGTGTGAAGAGTTGAATAAGAATTTACAAATGTAAATATTTTTTCATTTACGATATTGTAATAATATATGTACATGGTGTTTCCTTTTTCAAAAACTCTTTTCTTACAATAGCTGGTGGGGAGTTTGTTTTTTTTAACTTTGTGTTTTAACTGAGGTGTTTCAAAAACAGTTCATGCATAAGAGAATTTAATCTTTTTTTTTTTTTTTTTTTTTTTTTACTGTAGTCTTTATATGACATGACTTTTTTCACCACTCATGAATTTTTAACAGTGTGTTTGGGATCAGCTGACCTGCAGTACAGGTCACACACAGCTACACCTACTATATCACCGTGCTGATTCTTTTCCCTTCATCCTCATGTATCTTTTTAGCCCTGTGCTGCTGCTAATACTATATACAGTACTAGAAATATTTTTATGTAAGAGGCGAGCGCTCCCATGTATTAATGCCACACATACAGTATGAAAAGAGGCTTGGCTTATTCATCTATTTCCTTTATTTTCTTGATTCTTCATGCCTTTCTCTTCCAGCGCCACTGTTCCCTTCTCTAACGATACAGATATATTGTAAAGGAAAGGACTTTATGAGATTATGTTTGAAAATAGCTATGCTTATATACTACAGTGACTGAATGTACAGTGTATAGATGCATTACCACAAATAAAGTTGTTTGTCCAGATAGAACGACCTCGCTTCCTGTTTTTGGTGCCTTGTTAGCAAACAGCTATTATTTGCACTCAGTGCCTTTTTTGTTTTCAATTCTGACCGATGGATTCAGTGCAGTTCACAAGGAGACTGCAAGAATACCTCGATCTAAACCTTGGTGTTGTAAAGTGGAAATACACATATGTCTGGATTCATGTGTTGATAGTTCCTACTATCTGTGTGTTCCAGTAGAGAAGAAAAATAAAGTGTCCTTTTACCATCAAAGAAAGTTGTGAAGGAAAAAGAGACTGTGGAGAATCAAACTGCAGTTAAGATGGGCTGCTTAATAACGTGGCTGTCCATGTCTTTACCATTAAATGTCCTCAATGCAGACTACAACAATCTTACATGTGTGCTTCTACCGTGTTATTTGGCACCGCCAACTGAGCTGTAGTTTCAAACCGTGACGCTCCACAAGACCTCTGCTTTGTATTCTTCAGAGACGTGCTTCACCCTGTGGTCTGCATGTTTGTGTGGATTCTCTAATGAAATTTGAATTGATGATTGTGAAGCTGGTTTAAACATTCAAAGATAAAGTGCTTCTGAACCACTGAACAGTCCAAATGTGGCCTGTCGTGTGGGAGGTCAGTGGGACTGCGCAACACTTTATAAAAGCCATTTAATATAAAGATACATAAGAATTATTTTTATCTGTGAATTTAAAGCTACTGTAAAAGACTCCACCTAGAAACCTGGACTTTTGGTGGGGCGGAGCTATGGGGGGGCAACCCCTTGCTGTAGATCCACCCGTTCCCCGTGCCCCGGCTGCCCCCAATTTTTATGTCCTTAAAATACTAATTATTGGAGATACTGATACAATAAATAGTGTTAAAGTGGATATTTAGTTTGCTGAATTTACATGTTGGGGATCTTCACTGAAGTAGGATGTGCCACCCTACTTCCCTGTTGCCCTTCCTTTGCCCCCGTGCTATCCAAAACCTCTAGATGAAGCAAATAAAGTAGTCCACAGCTGGGGATTGATCACTACAACAAAGCGTCATCTGGCATGTCCCTCGCTTTCAGTATGACTCGAGTGATTTTGAAGATATGAGTAAGAGTTGGATGTGAAACTAGAAGCTTCTGCTGTTTATGTGCTGGAAAGACAAAATAAACAAACGTGAGACTCGTTGGTTTCATCCTTCTAATCTCTAATTACAGGATTGACAGAATCAAATGAGCAAAAGAAGCAGCTCAGCGCGCTCCAACCAGAACAAGTTAATTAAAAGTGTACCGTGGCCATAATGATGATGAAACAAATAATATACACAGAGCTTCTGTCAGGTAAAACAAAGCTGAGCTCTTCCAGTGCAGAGGACGCTTTCAGCATCACTGAAACACGGCGTTCTTCTAGTTTCACCTTCTGATTTCTTTGTGTGTGCTGATGTGGTTTCAGGGCAGCTTTGGAGATGCCTCCGTAATTACTATGAAAACCTTAAAAAGGAAAACATGAGCTACAAGCACTGAACTACACAGGAATGTGCACTTAACGCCCACTCAGTCTTACAGCATTTGATGTAAACATTCATTAGTGTGTGCACATAGCGGTGTTACACAGATGTGTGTATACAGTATATGTTAGCCGCAGACTCCTCTCTCTCTGCTCAGTGGAGGTTTGATGAGGTTTACGACATATTCAACCTTCAAATGTTGCTTTTAACTTCATTCTGTGGCAAAATCAAGACAATAGACGCAAACACAGACTCAAGCAAAGCAGTGATGAAACTGAAGTCGTCTGCTACTTCCAAACAAGGCTGCTGTACTTCATCAAACTCCACGTTGGCCCGCAGTATTTCTAATGACCACTTGGGGCAGGGGGAAAAAATCAGTCAGTCAGCTCCGCAATCAGTCGGCCCCACAATCTTTCATATATATATGTGTGTATATATATATATACATTATATATCTCTCTCTCTCTGTGTGTGTGTGTGTGTGTGTGTGTGTGTGTGTGTGTGTGTGTGTGTGTGTGTGTGTGAAAACTGATTTGGAAAAGTGTTATTTATATGTAGTATCCTTTTTGCTTTTCAGTCTTTCAAATACCAAAATTTGCACTAAACTTTATATTTTTGTCTGTCTGATTTTCTCATTAAACATTAAATCAGATGTTATGATCAGTTACTCAGTACTCAAGCAGCCTTTTTTACTAAATACTTTTTACTTTTACTTGAGTAAAACTATGTTGAGGTAGTGGTACTATTACTTGAGTACATTTTCTGGCTGCTCTGCCCTCCTGTGGTTGAGTCTAACAGGTGCACTGATGTAGGCAGATGTGGCTGAGAGCCTGCTGCTTGGTCTCACCTCCACTCCTCTGCTTACTGCATTCACTAAACTGGATCTGTGTGTGTGTGTGTGTGTGTGTGAGGGTGTGTGTGTGTGTGTTGTAGAACATTGTTAATGGAATTATCTGAGTCTTTGATTTTATTTATTTTCTGCTGTGTTTTACTTGCATCTACTTGAAAGGGTAAACACAAAACATGATTTTATTTTATATGCTGAATATGCAGGAAATAGGTTTAAATGTTAAACACATTTCTTCAAGTCAAAGACTGTTGCATATAATTTAATTTTTGCTTGATGCATAAAGTTAAAAGATTAAATTGAATAAAACAATTAAAAAAATACTTTTTTATTTGATTCGATTTGATATGATGGATTATGCAGAAAAAGTAGAATTGGGCTGAAAGGTCTGTTGCTTTATAACGTATTCAGATTGTCTATCATGTTTTTAAAAAGTAACTAAGTAACCACACATAACTAATTACTTTTTAAAATAAGTAATTAGTAAACTAACGGCATGACTTTTTTTATCAGTAATTAGTTACTAATTACTTTTTTCAAGTAACTCGACCAACACCATTAAAGAGGGTCTTGGCTTGCCTGTATTGGTTTATTGTATTTATTACATTTTTAAGTTTATTTTCTCTGATTCTGTACTTTATTGTTTCTCATCCTGGTTGGTGCATTTAAAAATCAGATCCCCATAATCCAACAAATGTAAAAAGGTTACAGAGAAAAGAGAGATTTATTCCTCGGAAACAAACTTTAGCAGGGTAGCGTTCATGGCCAATTAGGGGCTCTGTTGGCTCTTAGGTGATGGTTTCCTCGTGGCTGCGTGCAGCGGGGCTAGGGGAGGGTCTGTGCTGACGGACGTGGGTTACTGACCTGGTAGCCTGGCTGCCCCTGGGTGGGTCCGGGATGGGCGTGAGGTTCTGGGGGCGCTCCGTCTCTGGGCTGGGGCCCTGGCCGGGCCTCGGGGGCTTGGGTCCTGGTTGGTGTGTTGCCGGGGTTGTGGGCGGGTGGGTGCATGGGGGCCCAGCCCTGGCGCAGGGTGCCGCCGGTGCGTCGAGCCACCTGGGGGGCTCTTCAACTGGTGGGGGAGATTGTCACATCTTGCAGGAGCTTCCTCTCTTCAGGAACTCTCTCTGCAGGAGGGGGAGATACAGGAGAGGTGGAGGAAGATCTCAGCCTGGGCGTTTATTGTCTTATGTAGTCTGGAAGATGAGTGGATGGTGGGGTGGGTGCAGTTTTCTCTGTGGTGGGGTTGGGTGGACTGTCCCGGGCTCTGTGGGGCCGGGCGGCGCTGCTGCACTGGGCCCCGGTCTGGATGGGCCTGGGCCCCCTTTCCCTGGCGGGTCGCGGAGTATGGGGGTGCCTACTGGGGTCAGCGGGGGAGCTGGCCCCAGGGAGGGGTCACTTGCCCCTCCCTTCCTTCCCTCCCCATCTCCAGCTGCCTCCCTCTTCCCGCTCCACCACAACCACCCACACATGCAGGGCCTTGGAGTAGGTGTGTATCACCAGGGTGCAGGGGAGGCAACCCCCCCCTCTGTCCCCTTCTGGCTGCCTCAATTTTATCCCACAACTTAGACATTCACATTACTCACACTCTCATTACACATACAAGGATCTTGGGGGTGGGCACGCTACACGGATCCAAATTACCATCAGGGTGTACACCTCACCCCTGGTGTCGTTGCCCACCTCTCAATTTTAAATACAGTAGACATTGAGGGCTAGCAGGAGGGGCTATGCGCTTACCTGCTGCTCTCTGGCAGGTAGCTCCATGCCCTCCTGGGTTTTAAATGCACCTTAGAACACACATGCATCAACACTACAATGAGCGGTGGAGGGAGGTTTGGAGTCTTCTCTCACCCCCGTTCTCTGCGGCCTGCTGGAGCGGGCGCAGGAGGAGGAGTTGGCCGTCCGACTGCGGTCTGGAGTGTGGGGCCTCCCTGCTGCTGCGGAGTCGGGGCGGTCTGCCTCTCCCCACCGCAGGGAAAAGGGTAACACCACCTGGGTCTGGGTGCAGTTCCCCCCTCCAGGGGCAAGGGTACCTAGACCCGGTTTGTAGAGTACGCTTGGGGAGTGTGATCGTGTGTACAGCGTCTCTTTATGTCTGTCTCCACGTTGGTTGAGTGTGGAGTAAGTGCATATGAGAGCATGAGGGTGGGAATGGATGTTTGTGTCTGTGTGTGCCTGTATGTCTGTGTCTATATGTCAGGTTGGGTGTCAGGCGCCACCTCTCTGGGGACATCTTAGGCCCTCCAAGGTTTGGAGGCCTATCTCCCCCCACCACCACTTCCCCTGCCAGTGGCGGACTCCCTCAGACATCGGTGCGTTGGTGGTTCTTTGTGTCCGGGGATGGGCGTCCAGGTACACACCGGCTCACTCCTTGGCGGCCGCTTATCGGGGCCTGGAGCCTGGGGCTCGCTCGGGCCACTTCGGAGGTGGGGTGCCCCCGGCCTCTCGGCCTGGGGCTCGGTCACTCAGGCACAGCTGGCTGCCGGCGGAGCTCACGGGCGCGTCACTGCAACTCCCCCTGGCTTCTGCTCCGCGGCTGCTGAGTGAGCCCTCATCTGGGACTCTCCTCAGCTCTTTCTGGGACAGTGGCGCGGCTGCCCCTCTGTTGGTCTTCCTTGGTCTCTTGTGTTCTGGGGGCCTCTGGATGTCTGGAGTTTTGATCTCCTCCATACCTGCTTCAT